TCTCTCTCTCTCTCTCTCTCTCTCTCTCTCTCTCTCTCTCTCTCTCTCTCTCTCTCTCTCTCTCTCTCTCTCTCTCTCTCCCTCTCTCCCTCTCTCCCTCTCTCCCTCTCTCCCACAGCCATTGAAGTTCAGGGCAAAACAAAAGTGAAGATGATTGGCAATGGCCCAGGATACAATGGATGACCTTGGCATCGTTGATGTCTGACCAAGCTCTAAGCACTCCATAGCACTGTTTCAGCCACCTTCGTGACCACTGGGACAAATTGTTCTCATCCACCCATTCCACCTGGGAGGACATCTTCACATGCTTGGGATAGACATCCTTCTAACTCAAGGACGAGTCTGAGGTCTGTTGTTTACCCTCAACTAGTTTTAGTCGGTCTGCCTAGATGGTTTACCGGGTGTGGCTGCTGGGAGTGCAAGTACACAGCTTCTTGGAGCCACAGGTAAGAGTTAGATGGCAGGTGGACACCAGAGGTGGATGAGCAGCCCAGAAAAGGGCTCAGAAAGCCCTCACATCAGAGGTGCTAGTCATCCTTGAACACTCCGTACATCCCAGTTGGTAGTCTACGGTGATTAAGGGAGAGGGAAAAGTCAAGGATGACTCTGAGGCTGGCAACATGGGTAACTAGAAGAATGGTGGTGCACTCAACAGAAACAGGGAAGTTAGGAGTAAAGGTGTATTTACAGAGAAATAGACATATTTTTAGACATGTTGAGCTTGAGGTGCCTATGGAACATCTAGGTGGAAATGTCAAGCAGGTAGTTGAAGAGTAAGACTAGAACTCAGGAGAGAGATGAGGGCTATAGATATATAGACTATATATATAGTCATCTACAAAGAAATAAGAGTTGAACACAGAGGGACTGCTGAGATTGCTTAGAGAAGAAATAGAGAGAAAGAAGTGGAGAAGGCTAGGACAGAGCTATGAGATGGGACCCGAATGACAGTTCTACAGAAGAGGTCAAGAAGAATTCATCTGACAAGTTAAAAAAGAACCACAGCAAAGCAGAATCAAGAAAATTCAGGGAGGAGAGAGTATCTAACAAGAGGAGGTGGTTAATAGTATAAAAGCCTGCAAAGAGAGGAGATTACATCTATAGATTTAATTTTGCAGAGATCTGGCACAGCAGCGTCACATGCAGTTAGATTCATTAGTGACCTCTTTTTTATGATGAAAAGATATTGCCCCAGCTGACTGAGTATTCACACTATCTGCCCTGGAGAAGATCAAGACTGATGATCAATAGGAACTTTGTGTGCTCTTCCATTCATTCTCTGTCCATCTATCCCAATACTTCCCCTATCCCCCCTCCCCCCAGCTACTTATTAACTTCCTAGATTTATCTCTGCAGGGAAAGCTAAACAGGGACAGATTGCATGTGGTTTATCTGTCTCTAGAGATCTCAGGTTGCTTAGTTGTCAGGGCAGAAGTAGCCATGCAGAGTGGTAAAAATATCCCAGAGCTTTATTCAGTGGGCTTCTCCAAATGGCTGTGAAATTAGAGGTGGTTACTTCCCAAGAGATATAGGGTTTTGAGGTTCAGGGCTGCACATAACCTTACTGAACGTTTAATCATCAGATTTATGGAGGAAGAAGGGTTGATACAAAAGGAAAGAGTGAGATAGCCTTAGCTGCCACTGAAGACTCAATGTGGTATAGAAGAAAAAAAAGGCTAGATGTCAAGGCAAGTTTATGTCCTAGTTCCAACACGTAAAATAGTGTGACCATGAGCAAGTCATTGAGCCATCTATCAAGGGAGGCTGATACTTAGAATACCCATCTAGCAAGGTTATTGTGGGGAAAAGTATTATATAAATGTAAGCTATTAGTTTAGGGAGGGGACAGAGAGAGAAACAATTTGGAATGAGGATAATGTAAGAAACCTATTGGTGTCTATCCAGTGGGTTAGGCTGCAGTTTTCTCAGAGGTTAGATGAGTTAAAGTGCCTAAAGGAGAAAGAAAAGCCAGGAAGATTCTCTATGGAAATGCTTTTTTTTGTGACTGAGATTTCTATTTGATGGCCCATGGGAAGAATGGTCTGTATGGGGTTGGGAACCAAGGAATGCACTGAACATAAGTTTATTCTTAATCTCAGTTAACATTTCCTGAACTTCCACTCTATACAAAGCTCTGTACTTGCAGGAATTATAGAAAAACACAAAAGAATTAATTTAATTTAATTCAACAAAAATTTCTTCCCCCCCCCAATTAATAGTATTTTGTTTTTTTCCAATTACATGTAAAGATAGTTTTCAACATCCATTTTTATAAGATTTTCAGTTCTAAATTATTTTCCCTCCTGCCCTCTCCTCCTACCTTCCCAAGACAGCAAGCAATCTGATATAGGTTATACATGTACAATCATATTAAACACATTTTTACATTAGTCATGTTGTGAAAGAAGAATCAGAACAAAAGAGGAAAACCACAAGAAAGGAAAAAAAGCCATGAAAGTAATATGCTTTGATCTGCATTCAGACTCCACAGTTCTTTCTCTGGATGTGGATAGCGTTTTCCATCATGAGTCTTTTGGGATTCTCTTAGATCACTGCATTGCTGAAAAGAGCTAAGTCTATCATAGTTGATCATTGTACAATGTGGCTGTTATTGTGTATAACGTTCTCCTAGTTCTGCTCACTTCACTCAGCTTCAGTTCATGTAAGTCTTTCCAGGTTTTTCCGAAATCCACCTACTCATCATTTCTTACAGCACAATAGTATTCCATTATATTCACATACCACAATTTGTTCAGCCATTCCTCAAATGATGGGCATCCCGTTAATTTCCAATTCTTTGCCACCACAAAAAGAGCTGCTATAAATATTTTTGTACATGTGGGTCCTTTCCCCCCCCTTTTTTTTAGGCAATTGGGGTTAAGTGACTTGCCCAGGGTCACACAGCTAGCATCAATTGTTTGGTCTGAGGCCGGATTTGAACTAAGGTCCTCCTGACTTCAGGGCTGGTGCTCTATCCACTGTGCCATCTAGTGGCCCCAAAACATGCTTAGATGCCCCAGAATGGGTAGCAATGCCTTAACTGTGTATGTGTTGTAAAGGCCACTAGGACCTCTTCCATCCTTATCAAGGGGAGTGCTAACCTTCTCTCCTTTCATACAATACAAATTTAATTTTTTTCCTTTTTGGGCGGGGGGAACTAGGCAATGGGGTTAAGTGACTTGCCCAGGGTCACACAGCTAGTAAGTGTCAAATGTCTGAGGCCAGATTTGAACTCAGGTGCTCCTGACTCTAGGGCTGGTCCTCTGTCTACTGCAGTACCTTTCCCCTTTTTTATAATCTCTTTGGGATACAGACCTAGTAGTGGTATGGCTGGATCAAAAGGTATGCCCAGTTTTATAGCCCTTTGAGCATAGTTCCAAATTGTTCTCCAGAATGGTTGGATCAGTTCACAACTCCACCAACAATGCATTAATGTCCCAATTTTCCCATATCCCCCCAACATTTATCATTTTCCTTTTCTATCCTATTAGTCAAGCTGATAGGTGTGAAGTGGTACCTAACTTGCATTTCTCTAATCAATAGAGATTTAGAGCATTTTTCCATATGACTATAGATGGCTTTGATTTCTTCTTCTGAAAACTGCCTGCTCATATCCTTTGACCATTTGTCAATTGGGGAATTACTTGTATTCTTATAAATTTGACTCAGTTCTCTATATATTTGAGAAATGAGGCTTTTATCAGAGAGGTTTGCTGTAAAATTGTTTCCTAGCTTTCTGCTTTCCTTCTAATCTTGGTTGCGTTGGTTTTGTTTGTGCAAAACCTTTTTAGTTTAATGTGATCAAAATTATTCATTTTGCATTTCATAATGTTTTCTATCTCTTTGGTCATAAATTCTTCCCTTCTCCATAGATTTGACAGGTAACTCTCCTAATTTGCTTATACTATCACCCTTCATATCTAAACCATGTACCCATTTTGACCTTATCTTGGTATAAGGTGTGAGATGTTGGTCTATGCACAGTTTCTTGCCATACTATTTTCCAGTTTTCCTAGCAGTTTTTGTCAAATAGTTAGTTCTTATCCCAGAAGCTGAATTCTTTGGGTTTATCAAACAGCAGATTACTATAGTTATTTATTACTGTACAACAAAAATTTCTTAAGGAAGAAGTCCTTGCTTTCATGGAAAGATAGAACAGATTCAAGTCGACCTATCAAAAAGCAAATGAATTCAGTTATATTCAATTCACACACATGAATTCAATTCAACAACATCACAAAGAGTCAGACACAACTGAACAACAATACTTTGGGCCACAGTATGGAATGGAGTATTGTATATTAGAAAGGGGAAAGACTGGAATTGAGAGATCAATTGGGAAAGGCTATCACAGTGGATGAAAGGTGATGAGGGCCTGAACTAGGGAGATGGCATAATGAATGGAAAGAAGGGTGCCTGGACAATAATTGATGTGAAAGAGATCTGAGGGAATACCCTTTGACCCAGCAATTCCAACATGAGGCATATGCCACCTAGGAAGTAAAAAACATAAAGAAAGGCCTTAAATATACAAAAATATAGTACAGTATAGTACAGCAAATAGTACAGTAAAAGAAGTAAGTCTCTATTATCTGGGAAATGGCTAAACAAACTGTGGTAACTGAATGTAGGGCAAGGGTCTGGGACTGGATCTGTGATTTAATTGATACAGAGAACTCCCAGGTGAGGAAACTCCTCCCAACAAATGCAGATCAGCAATTCCTCTATAACTTCTAGTCTAAGATATTTGCCTAGGGCACTGAGAGGTAAAGTGACTTACCTAAGATCACACAAGCAGTATGTGTCAAGGCAGGACTTGAATCCAGGTCTTCCTGGAAGGCTCACTATCCACTATGATGTACTACCTCTCATGTAGTAATGTAATGGAATATCATGGAACAGTAAAAAATGATGAATAGGAGGATTTCAGAAAAACATGGGAAGACTTTAATGCACTGATGTATACAAAATAAGCAGAATCAGGCAAATGGTATACATAATGTCTACAAGAATGTAAATGAAAAGAACACTAAAGCAAAACCTAACTATGGCATTTCCAGAGAAAAGATGATGAAATAGACTTCCTTCCTCTGGGCACAGAGACTGGGGCTCTACACTATCAGATGGAGGTTACCATATCAGTTGTTTTTGGTGAACTGTTTTTCTTTGTTGCAAGGGAAGTTTCAATGCTATGTTAGGATTGTGGCAGATATGTTTGGAAATTATGTGAAAACAAAGGCACTGATAAAAAATAATTTTATAAAACAATAGTAGCAAAGATGCCCATTATCACTACTGTTATTCAATATTGTTTTAGAAATGCTAGCTATAGCAATAAGAGAAGAAAAAGAAACGGAAGGAATTCAAATAGACAACGAGGAAATAAAACTATCACTTTTTGTAGGTGATATTATGATATACTTGCAGAATTCTAGAGAACCAACTAAAAAAAGTAGTTGAACTAATTAACAACTTTAGCAAGGTTTCAGGCTATAAAATAAATCCACATAAATCATCAACTTTCATATATATATATATATATATATTCATATATATATATGTATAACCAACAAAGTCCAGCAGCAAGAGATAGAAAGAGAAGTTCCATTTAAATTAATTGTAGACAATATAAAATACTTGGGAGTAAACATGCCAAGACAAACCCTGGAACTATATGAACAAAATTATAAAACACTTTTCATACAAATAAAGTCAGATCTGAACAACTGGAAAAAATTACATGCTCATGGGCAGGTTGAGCCAACATAAGAAAAATGACAATTCTACCTAAATTAATTTACTTATTCAATGCCATACCAATCAAACTACCAAAAATTATTTTATAGAACTAGAAAAAATAATAACAAAATTCATCTGGAAGAACAAAAGTTCAAGAATATTAAGGATATCAGTGAAAAAAAAGATGCAAAGGAAGGTAGCTTAGCCATATCAGATCTCAAACTGTATTACAGAGTAGTAATCATCAAAACGATTTGGTACTGTCTAAGAAATAGAATGATGATCAGTGGAATAGATTAGGTACATAATACACAGCAGTAAATGACCATAGTAATCTAGTATTTGATAAACTCAAAGATACAAGTTTTGGGGATAAGAACTTACTATTTGACAAAAACTACTGGGAAAACTGAAAAGAAGTCTGGCAGAAACTACATATATACCAACATCTCACATCATATACCAAGATAAGGTCAAAATGGGTTCGTGATTTAGACATAAAGGGTGATACTATAAGCAAATTAAGGGAGCATGGACTAGATTACCTGTCAGATCGATGGACAGGAGAAGAATCTGTGACCAAAGAAGAGATAGAGAGCATTATGGGATACAAAATAGACAATTTTCATTACATTAAATTAAAAAGGTTTTGCATACACAAAACCAATGCAGGCAAGATTAGAAGGAAAACAGAAAACTGGGGGGGGGGGAATTTTACAGCAAACTTCTCTGGTAAAGGCCTCATTTCCCAAATATATAGAGAACTGAGTCAAATTTATAAGAATACAAGTCATTCCCCAGTTGACAAATGATCAAAGGATATGAGCAGGCAGTTTACAGAAGAAGAAACCAAAGCTATCTATATGAAAAAAAAATGCTCTAAATCTCTATTGATTAGAGAAATACAAATGAGGTATCATGCTAATATTATAAAAAAGGAAAATGACAAATGTTGGGGGGGGATATGGGAAAATTGGGACACTAATGCATTGTTGGTGGAGTTGTGAACTAATCCAACCATTCTGAAGAGCAATTTGGAACTATGCCCAAAGGGCTATAAATTTGTGCATACCCTTTGACCCAGCAATACCACTGCTAGATCTGTATCCCAAAGAGATTAAATAAAAAGAAAAGGACCTATATTTACAAAAATATTTATAGCAGCTCTTTTTGTGGTAACAAAGAACTAGAAATTGAGGGGATACCCATAAATTGGGGAATGGCTGAACAAATTGTGGTATATGATTGTGGTAAAATACTATTGTGCTATAAGAAATGACAAGCAGTTCACCAATTGATAAATGGACAAAAGATATGAACAGGCAGTTCTCAGATGAAGAAATTAAAGTCATCTATAGTCATATGAAAAAAATGTTCTAAATCACTATTGATTAGAGAAATGCAAATCAAAACAACTCTGAGGTACCACACCACACCTATCAGATTGGCCAACATGACAAAACAGGAAAGTGATACATGTTGGAGAAGATGTGAGAAAATTGGAACACTAATGCATCGTTGGTGGAGTTGTGAAATGATCCAACCATTCTGGAGAGCAATTTGGAACTATGCTCAAAGGGCTATAAAAATGTGCATACCCTTTGACCCAGCAATAGCACTTCTAGGGCTATGTCCCAGAGAGATCATACAAATGGGAAAAGGACCCACATGTACAAAATTATTTATAGCAGCTCTTTTTGTGGTGGCAAGGAGTTGGAAATTGAGAGGATGCCCATCAATTGGGGAATGGCTGAACAAGTGTGTGGTATGTGAATGTAATGGAATACTATCGTGCTATAAGTAATGATGAACAGGCTGACTTCAGAGAAAACCTGGAAAGACTTGTATAGTCTGATGCTGAGTGAAGTGAGCAGAACCAGGAGAACATTATACACAGTAACAGCCACTTTGTGCAATGACTAATATTGATAGACTTAACCCTTCTCAACAATACAAAGATCTAAGACATATCCAAAGGCCTCATGATAGAAAATGCTATCCACAAAGAAAAAAGAATTCTGGAGTTTGAATGCAGATCGAAGCATACTATTTGCTATTTTTTTTTCTTCTGTTGTGTTTTGTTTCTTCTTTCTGGTGGTTCCTCCTATCGGTTCTAATTCTTACTTACAACATCATTAATGTGAAAATATGTTTAATAGGAATGTATATGTATAACCTATATCAGATTGTGAACTATCTTGGGGAGGGAGGGGCAGAAAAATTTAAAAGTCAAAAGCTTATGGAAGTGATTGTTGATAATTCAAAATAAATTAATTTTAAAAAAAAAGAAATGACAAGCAGGATGCTTTCAGAAAAAGCTGGGAAGACTTACATGAACTGAAGCAAAATGAAGTGAGCAGAACCAGAACAATATCATACACAGT